TTTGAATTCAAAGCTATTATGAAGAATGAATTTCATACATCAAAAGGGGGCATAATATTGCAGATAGAACTTCATGAACTATTGGGAGAAGGTGCAATGTCCGCCGTTTATAAAGGTATATTTAGGGGTGATGAAAGCGAGAAACAGGTAATGAACTATTCTAATTCTTTCAAAAGCTAATTTTTCAGAGCAAAAACTTTTTTCCAAAACCTGAAAAAATTTCCAGAACGAGAACAAAATTTAAATGTTTGATTAAAGATTTCTTAGCTAGGTAAAAAAAAAAAAAAAAAAAAAAAAAAAAAAACGATTATATGAATGATTAGGTGAAAATGGAATATAAAAATTATTAATTACGATATATTTATTGGACTATAGCTAGAAAGCTGACAGAATTAAATTGATTAAAGTCAAAAAAAAATGTTCCTTCAAGGTTGCGATTAAAGTACGGAAAGGGCGTAGATTGGATCGAGAAACTGTAGAACAGATTTGTCGAGAAGCTCGGATAATGCGCAGACTGGAGCACCCAAATGTTGTTCGTCTCTATGGAATCGCAATCAGTAAGGTATTGGAAAACCACCAAACGTAACTGAAAATAAGAAGTAAGAAGGATCGGTAAATGATAATAAAAAAAAAAAGCTTCCAAAAAAACTGACTTTATAATGAACTGACTTAAATGAAATTCCATCTCAAACTTTAATGATGAAAGGAACCAATAATGCTGTTGATGGAACTGTTGAAAGATGGAAGTCTGGATGTATTCCTCGTAACAAAGGGGTCAAAGTTGAGCATACGAGAAAAGTTGTATTTCTGTCTCGATATTGCATCGGGATTGGAATTCCTTCATAATAATGGGGTCATTCATCGAGATATTTCAGCAAGGTATCTCTCAATAATTCTACTAATTAATAATTGTTTCATCATCAATGCAAAAGTTTGAAATTTGCAATAAAGGCGACCTGACATTACGATTTCTTACTTTCTAATTATTAATAATTATTTGATGAAAGATATTTTTTGGCTAATAAACAAACTACGGAAACAGAACATCGCAGTATATTTCAAAGCTTAAAATAATTTTAAGAAATTGCCTGGTGGAAGATATGTGTGTCAAAATATCCGACTTTAACCTGTCACGAGAAATCAGAAAACAAGATGAAAAGTATAAGATGACGCGGCTGAAACAAAATTTGCCCATAAGGTTTAATATATCTAAAAGTTGTCTGCTATAATGACCACTTGGAACTATGTAAGCTTATAGCTGTTATTTATCACCCATGGCTTCCCATATACCAGATGAGGATTTATTTTGAAAAATTTTTCGAAGTTTTTTGAAGTAAAATGCTGCAAGGATATTAAATGCTGAACTTTTAAAGCATAGCTCATCTCACCTCTCAGCATTAACTTCTCTTTTTTAATTAGTATTTCCACTAACAATTCGCTTTTTATTCAAGAGTGAGATTACTAACAATTTATAATTTTTACCATCAAATACTGAATTTAATTTTCATCAAAATTATCTTATTTGTATATTTATGCTATGCTTGTATGGAATTTCCTTTTGAAACCTACAGTTAAATTAGAAAAAGTAAGGGATTAAGAATATAAGAAATAGATTTATCAATAATCCATCGGGATTGACAGGTGACGTGTCCTACTTATATCTTCATATTGGTCAAGATACGTTCAGTTCTGAACGATAATTTCCCGTTTTCACACTGTTCCTTTTTCCTCTCTTTCAAATAGCATGACTTGTGAGCATTCAACTCAGAAATCATCATCTTTAAAAAATAAGATAGATATTGATTCTTCGAGTAGTTGAAATGGAGGACAGATTGCAATTCATCCTTTCTTTTTAACAATAGCAAAAATTTATTCTTATACCTTATTCTTATCGAAGAAACAAATAAACTCAAATGTAATTTGAGTCATAAAGAAAAATAATCACCACAATGCAATTAATGTAATTAATATAAATTGAATGGTGTAAGGGTCTTTTGATGATAATACAGATGGCTAGCACCGGAAACGATAAAAAGCGCAACATACACGACAAAATCAGATGTGTTCAGTTATGGGATATTACTGTGCGAAGTGTTTACAAATGGCGCGGAACCATACTGTGGGATGACGGTCGCTGAAGTTATTATTAATGTAAGTTTTACTTCAATCACGAAAAGCTACAAAGTTCAAATTTTTTTCCTTAAAGAAGAAAGTGTAAAAGATAAAGATCAAACTACTTGTTCATTAATTCCTATTGTTGGTTGTTTGAAAATTGAAAAATTTAGGTGAAGGACGGATACCGAATACCATCGCCGGATGCGATGCCAAATCGGTTACAGGCTTTGCAGCGAAACTGCTTTGCAATGGAAGCCTCAAAACGATGGTCAATGGCACAAATCCGAAGAGAAATCGAAATGATTTGTTTACAATTTCAGGAATAAACTTCTAAGCATTCAGTAAAAGCCATTGAATTGTTCTATCGTTAACGGAACGGCACACCATGCCATCAGGTTTTTGGAATAAAATCTTTCATACCTTTCGCTCTTATTCATCTTATTTCATCACTATTAATTGATCGATACTGTCCATTGCAATTTAATAAGGGATAGTACAGTTTGAAGATTATGTCATTGCGTTTAATTAAATTAACACTAAGGAAATTCAGTACCATACCAAATGAGAAAATCCTTTTATACGTCATCTATAAAATAGTACTGAAGTAGGTTACGTACGTCATCGCCACAGCCAGCTTCCTCTAAGCTAGGATATTAGCATTGCATTGCGTACCCGTCGATTCACAACTTTCAAGTCTGATTATGGAAATGTGTTTCAATAGCCCAGCAATGCAAGCCAAAAATCGTTTCACAGCAACGTCGGTTCACCTGGATGAGTGCTTCCCCGTACCTTGGCACCATCGAGAGTGTTCGTCTTTCCGCTCTACTAATGACAGTCACCGTTCACACAACTTTGTCATCCATTCCACTCAAAGTATCGTTATACGCAGTATGATCAAGGGAAATATGTGGATAAATCATCGCATGACTATGATGACATTATCCCCTCTCTTCCCTTACATCCTCCCTATCCGTCCCATCCATCACTCTCTCTTTATAGCTTGCGCCATTTCACCCACAATCTTTACATCACTCCGCTTCCCGATGATCATCTCATATTTCCTTATTATATAATTAAGCAAACCCTACTGTTGTTACACACATCTCTTACTTTTTTCATACTTTTACCTTGTTATTTATGTGTAAAAAGCTCAATTATACTAATAATTATAGTAAGTTTACTATGTCTTGCTAGACTGTTATCTCGTCACAGACGTTAAATTGATCAAAAAGATGGAGGAATAGATTCTGTGGCGACATCTATTTACCTTTAAAATTTGCATTCTATTTGGTTTGCTCTTCTACCTTTCATTTTTCTTATCATAGCGCATTCAGAGAGGACTGCGCCATATCGTTATTAATTAATGGTTTCTCAAATTCAAAAAATTTCCAAACAGAAAGAGGCATAAATAAGTAACAACGATGTGTAGCAATGATTTTCATCCTTAGCATCAAATACCTTTTGTAATGATGTAAATGTCAATTCATTTAGTATTGCATTTAGGTAGCTTCTATTTTTAATTGTGTTAGGATCATTTTTGTTGAATTTTTTGTTATGTTCCATTTGCTTCAACGAAAAGCTTATGATTTGTTGCAAGAAGTGAAATTAAGCAAAATAAGCACATAACTATGAAATTTGTAATAGGATATCTTGTTGTATAAACAGTATTTAATTTTTTATAAATTATGTATGAAAACGAACTCTTCTTGTTAAAATGATACGATTCTTTCCACTCTTTTCTTCTCCTCGCATTTTACCAAACTTTCACTTTTGGCTAAGAATTCAGTTAGCTTTCTGGAACATCTTTGCCGATGATATAAGAGATTGCACATAGCATGCAAACTTACAGTATATATATATATATATATATATATATATAATTAAAAAGCAGTTAAATTTTCTTTAGTTTAGATTTATACTGCCTCTATCTTGAAGTAATTTGAGGCTTAAGCAATAAAACAGCAGAAAGTTATTCAGGAAAAGAAAAAATAAAACTGGTTTCATTGGAATGGAAACTCATGAGCACATTAAGCCAGTAATCTTGCTTGAAAGAATTTTATCAATATCATTTTGGTATAATCATACAATATACATTGAACAGAATCAAAAAAATCTGCTTTGAATTTCTTCTTTTGATTCAAATTCTTTTTTCACGACTTTCATGATGTTTCGTGCAGAATTTTAGAATTTTTTGAGATTAAGCATTAATTCAGTTTTCTGGCTTCACTATTCATAGGATTTCTGATATATAGTATGTTACTGATACTTTTTAATAGTAGATTAAAACGACAAGTTATTGATCATAAGATAGGAATTACTATTTATCTTTACATTTACAATTTTAAATGTTACCCTTAATTATTTGAGCTTAGGTGACGCAAAAGCAGTGCTCAGGTTTGAGTTATAACGAGGTAGATTAGGTCAAACACATTGCTGGTAATCCGTGTAAATCCATCAAATAAATTTCAGTGAAATCATAAACTTACAGGTTGAAAAATATTCCATATCACATTCCATCCACTCATTTTATGCTGTTTATCACAAATCCTTTTCGCTGTTTTAAATTATGAGGTAAAAGATAGAAAAATCTCGCAGTTTTCCGTCGGAATGTGAAGCTATTAACTGCAACAAAACAAAAGCTCTCGGTTTCTTTTGTGCTTATTTGTGATTTATTTACTGCTTGTATTAAAACCTACATGTTGTTCGCTCGCCCTGGTTTTGTTTCGGTTATACCTTGAATGAAGCATATCGCTGCTTCGTGTTTTTAAACATACTCATAGTGTGGATTTCAATTTTTTGATCTGTAAGTTAATATATTAGCGCTCAGAATGTTGTAAAAAAATTTCAGACTCTTTTGTTTGTAAAATTTTTTAGGAATATACTGAATGAGATTGGTATTCACTTCCTGGGAGTCTGAATCTGAAGAAATTTATAAAAAAGGATGGAAAATACTTGCAGATCCAACAGTTTTAACTTCAAGGGACGTCGTGATTTATCACGGTGACATTCTTGCTTTAGAGGATGGCACTGTAGTACGTTTTTCATGTTGTTTTCTTATAAGTTTGCAGCAATAATTCATTCATTTAGTTAGCTAGCCTAGGTTATGCTGTTGCTAAAAACCTTTTTTGTCCTTCAGAGAAAAACGTTAAATTCAAAGTTGGAAAATAATTTGTTGTTGTTTATCTTGTTAGCTTTTCCTCATGAAACATCGATTTGCAGTACATGTATACGTTATCTGGTACCAAGGAGCCGTATCTAACCGAAACTTCGTTTTCTTCATCTCGTTTCATTTCATTCCATGCTGCCTATGAAAAATTATTTTTGGTAAGTGAGGAAGGTCGTCTTTTCGGTTGTGGGCATACTACTTACGGTGAATGTGGCGTGATTTCTCCAAATCCCATTGAATCGTTGCGGGAAATTGAATTGGTTACACCACCAACTGTTTGCCCTCATGGATCTTCGGTTACTACTGCAGAGTAAGGGATTTCTCAGTTTTGTACAAATCGCTTTGAATAAATGCAACAGCAAAAATTTGAACACTTGTATATTTATACATTTACTGTTGTGCTTTATTTTCAATTTATTTTTCGCTGTCCTCATTTCTGCTAAAAAACTAATCTCTTCTTCAATAAAAAGAAGGAAATTTTCCTTCCTTCAATTTTTATCGAAGTGGACAAGAAAGTTATGTAATATTCAACCAAATTTTTTTTCTCTCAAAATAAAATTTTCTCTTTTTTACTATCCCTAGTTTTTTTTAATTCTTAGTTTTAGTTTAGGTCACTGAAGGTGATGCTTGTTCGAACGTCCATGTCAGAGGTTTGCCTCATTGATTTTCATGGTCAAATGTGGAAATACGGTGGTGGACGATTAGAATTTGATTCACTTGGACGCATTCAAGTGCGACCTCTACAAATTGCGTCAAGACGGAAAGTTTTGCAGTTGTGTGCCGGAAGGTTTGAATATTTTTCAAACACATTTTCTTTATAAAACTTTATTCATTGTGTTTTCATGAAATTTTTTTAGGGAACATTTTGTCTGTCTAGCAGTCCCTTTGACTGATGAAAATAATGATACAGATGCTAGAAATCCACCAACTCTGGGGATTCAGAGGTCGAACAAATGTGAAAAATGTCGAGATGAATGTGAGCTACGGCTGAGTGCATTAATGCATATAGCTGATCAAGATCAGGATCAGGTTCCGGCCATTTTTTCATTTTGTTTAATTTAGCTTATTGCTAAACTTTGACTCTACAGTTTTTCTTGTCAGATTTGAAAAAAAATTTTCTTAAAGAAATGATTGTCTCATTTCAATAAAACAATTTTCAGAAACCCCTTTCACGACATCAATACTGAAGTATTATTTTGTTTTGTTTTTAATAGAGTTTTTAAACTAGCAGCATCAAAAGAAAAAAACTTTTTTAGAAAAATGAATCACGAGTTTCATTTGCAAGCTGTGAGGAGTTGGCTGTGAAAAGAAGTTTCCACAGTCCATGTTTGTTTCTGGATACTGATAATAGGTAATCACTTTTTCAGATTTTACGGGCTGAATTTTATTCTGTAAATTCTATAACGAGAATTATAAAGAGGGATATATCTGCTGTCAACAGTTTATTCTAAATTAAGACCCGTGCTTTTAGTTCAAGAGAACACCAAATACTTCCATTCTGTGGTTCATCAAATGCAACTAAGACCTCACTTGTAAAGTCGGGCAAAGAAACTTCTTTGATGAAGTATGATGAATTTGAAATGGCAGAAATGAAAAATATTAATGTTCGGGGTGGACTTAAAAAAAATTCGACATCTGCTTCAGCAGAAAATCTACTTGGTATGTATTGCATGCAAAATACAAATAGGAGTTTAATAGTGGCCCACATCTGAGTAGTGAAAAGTGACTCATCACTCAAACAATGTGTATTAAATATATTTTTCCATTTGTTAAAGAGATGAAAATAGTTAAGATAATTGCTCTTAGCATAGTGAACTGCTTTTTGAGTATAAAAATAATTCTTGAGAAGAAAAAGAACCTTTCCGAAAAATTATCTTTTTCGAATCTTTTGTCGACTTGACATTTCCGTAATGATGTCTTTTTTTTATTTTTGCACTTGTCATCAAAGTGGTTTCATCTTTTGAAATTCATGTGTTTTTAGATATAGAAGACTCATCATCAACTAATGGGAGTCCTTCACAATCAGATGGAAAAGTTTCACTTACCGGTTTGCATAATTCGGACTTATTACCAGAAATTTGGACATGGGGTGCTAATGGAAATGGCCAGTTGGGACATGGGGATTTGACAGCGAGGTATTAAAATTTCCCATAAACTGTTTTAAGTATACCATTAATTCTCTTTTTTGATTTTATTCCAGGAGGGTTCCATTCAAAATAGTCGATTTATGAAGAATGTATTGTATCAAAGTGGCAGCAGGGGACGATCATACTATAGCACTTACGGGAACTGGCAAGGTGGTTAATGTTTTTCAGATTCCTATCAATAACCACTTATTGTTTTCCGAAAAATTTAATAGGATTATAGAATTAATGAAAAATTAATAATCTGATTTTGTTATTTTAATTAGTTTCAGAAAGCATTTCACCAAACTGATTAAAATTTTTTAGTTGTATGTGTGGGGATCAAACAATGCTGGACAACTAAAACAAGCAAAATTGTCGTATATAACCAAACCAACGCTTTTTAAAGTTAATTTTATTGATTTTAGCGGTTTTAAACTAAAAAAGTGTCTTCTTTTTTTTTGCTGGTAATGATTGCACAAATTTTTGTCTCTATCAGATAATGTTCGTATTTCCAAATGTAACTTCTCTTAAATTAGAGTTTACACGTTAATTTTGTAGGTTGGAAGCCATTCTTTTGTTTTGGATGCATTCGCAAGCGGTTGTCAGACAGGTGTTATTATTGGTGGTATGGCAAATTCTGCTATGCTTTATCTCTGCGGAAATAATACTGCGGAGCAATCACCACAGTCACTTTCACTACCAAAAGAGGTTTTTTTTCTGCTTTTTCTTAATTTGTATTCTCACTTTACTTTAAATTTTTATTTTATATTTATAAATCTTGCATAAATGTGACTTGCTTTTGTACGTTTCGTTTATTTTCAATACAAAACCGTAGGTTACTGCAGATTTATTTTCGTTTGAAATTCTTTTATCTGCCTAGTTACACATTAGACAGCAACCTTTTTCTAGATGATGTTTTATAGATTGGCTGGCCGAGTTGGATTTTGATTGCAAATCAGAACCTTGTAGTTGGAGCACATGAATCAATAGCTGACATCGATAGGCATTTCCTACGTGTGTTCGTTTTCTTTCGATATGCGGAATTTAACCAGCGGATTTGTCAAATGTGCCAAAAAATCCATGAAAGAAGTAATGTATTTTTTGAATTTTTAAATTAAACTATTAAGTCTGGTATTATTTTCTACAAAATTTCAGGAGGATTAATTTTAGATAACTATTTTTAGGTTATGCTGTAAATAATCCATATTTGTAAAAACTATTAAATAAGCTTACTTTATCATCGGCAAGATATTCAACGCGAATGTTCACGTTTACAAAAGTTCAAGCGAGTTCTTGAGCAAGCAAGCAATATTATTTTGTTTCATAATTTCAGCTAGTGTTTTTAAAGTGGACAATTGGACTCATTTTTACTTTAAATGCTATTGATTATTCGAAAATTACTTTTTTAATGAACATATGCGTGAAGTTTTTTTTTTTTGGAAAAACCTTGAAAACCTACATAAAGAAATACTTTGAATGCTGTTTTCCAGTTTCATGCAGATTTTGTAGAGTGTCTTGCTTATGGATGTTTTACTGAGTTCGATGTTAGGTATGGCTTAGTATTCATGATAATATAATGAACACGTAGGTAATGTGCACTTCTAGTTTGTGTATTTGAGTTTTTTTTTTTCTATTTATTTAAATATTTTTTTAACGTTTGCTAAGGCTTCACTGCACATCTGCTTGTAGTCATTTGCTCATTAATTATTTTCTGTTTCATTACCAGTTTATAAATTTGCATGTAAGTTATTTAAACAATTGATAACTACATACACATTTCTGGCAGTATGAATGAATCTCAGTCATATTTATTCCTGGTAATAAACAAATGCCGCGGGATTGTCAACTGATTGTGAATTACATCAAGAAAAGATTGAGATCAACGTCTCATTAATTGATTTCAAGAACTTTTTAAAAATCAGTAGGTATAGGATTTCTAGAGCATGAAAAGATTTTTTTCTATTTCATTAGTAAAAATTGAATTTAAGTTGGTGTTTACCTAGAAATGGAATCTTTTCAGTACTATTGTTTCAGTGTTTAAATGGAGTGAATTCTCACTATCTAAATGTTCATTTTTTTGGAGGTCCACAATTATTTAACACCATGTACGCTTTGTTTGGTTGCAAATGCTAACATTTCATAAGGAAGAAAACAACTTTTTCAAAACTTTTACTGTTTCCTCATCTAATCAACACTCTTTCGGACTTTCTTAGCACAACATTTTTTATTGAAATGAAAGAATTTGAAGCATTGAAAATTCTTTTCTCATAAAAGTTTTCTAAAAATCTTACTTGTATTTTGCTATTCTTTTTTCCTGCCGTAATTTAATAACTAAGTCAAATTTCGAAAAGATGCAAATTAAAACTGCACCATCGTTGACAGTATTATAGGAGAAATGGTTTAAAAAAAAACTTCCGTTTCTACAAAAAACAAGAAGAAAAGTGCTTTTGTCGTTTAAAAATTTCTTATGCTTGAAGTAGCAAAAAAGTAAATTTATACAGAGATGAAATCCATCGAACTGACTGGGACGATATTGTCGCCGCCATCAGTAGGTATGATTTTCAACTTCAAAATTTTTTTGTAAAAGTAGAAGATGTGGAGAAAGTGGTAGTTATGATTAACTAAATTTCGTTACAGTTTTCGTAATTTTCAAGAAGTTTAGTATGGGTTTTGCTTGGGAAATAGCTATGCTTTTGTTTTTTATGTTAAGAAAAAAGTATGATTCAACTATAAAAATCGGAAGAAAAGTTTTATGTTATGTTACAAAAGCTATTTGCTTTTGCATACATATGTGTTTAAGTTTTCAACTTCAGATTTTTTTTTTCGAGAATTTAATCTTTTTTTGAGATTCGAATTTTCAACTTAAGCTTTTGGGATTATTTATTATAGCTTCAGTGAGTTACAATTGTAATAAACTGAATTCGTATATATATATATATATATTTTATTTTGAGAGCTGATGTATTTTCTTATACGATTAAAAGAAACTCTCGTTTTTGAAATTTCCACGCTTCTACACTGAAAAGAGGAAATAAGCTCTCCTCGAATCATACTAGGTGTTACATGTGGAGAACATCGGTTTTTTTTTTTTGCTTCTCAATAATCATTCCGCTCTGTGCATGTTGGCTGATAGAAAACTCCTTTGATATTTCATGATGTAAAGTTTTCACGGATTTTTTTGATATATTGAAATTTACGTCATTTTAGTGAAGAACTAGAGGAGGAAATAAACAAAATGTCCTTCTGCTATGATGTTGGAAGAAATAGTCAAGATATTCATTTGCGGCGGTTGTTTCAACTAGCTTTCAGTTGTCCATGCAAACTTGCCGATATGACTGGAATTGGTGACATCTTAGAGGTAAGCATAGGTTTTAGTATTAAGGCTATAGTAATGATATCGTTTAGAACAAATAATATGACCATACTATGTCAAATAATATGTCACGATCGTTGCAGTACTTAAGGAATATAAACAATATTTCTTATTTCTTGATTCGTAAATATCAACATAGTTCACAAAAACACGCACAGTATTGCAATATTTAGACATTAGGAGCACTTTAGTATTGCGGTACAAAAACAAGACTGAAATCTTTTGATTTTGCATTTTCATCAGAATATGAATGATAGTTTGTTATTATCCCGAAACGGTGGGTCAAAATTAAAATAGTTGCATTTAATTTAGCTGTTTTTATATTTTTTTATAAGTTAAATCATTCGCTCTGATCGTTATTCGTTCTTGCTAATTCATGTCTTTTTGCCCTTGATGACGGAATTAAGCGTGTACGATAGGTTTCAGTATCCTTGTATTCTCTTTGTTTACAAATAATTTCTTATTCCGACAAAGACAAGTTGTGTTCAATTAACTGTAAAACAGATGAATTATTTACAAATAACAAAGAAATACACAACAACTTTTTTTATCTATTGATAGTAATTCTTATGTTTACACTTTAAGTAAAAAAAGTAAGATAAGAACGAAAATGGAAAAAAGTTAATTTAAAATACTGTTTTAAATTTATGCTATAAAGATTCAAAATTCGAATAGTGGTGACAACGAACATGTTATAGAAAATATGGTAAAAAAATCAGTACTAGATGGTGGTAAGTTAAATGAAAGTATTTTCATACAAAAAAGCTCATTATTAACAGAGATAACTTTAAATGATTGTTCAATAAGTTACATGATGAGATTTCAGATGAGTGATTTGTTTAAATCTTAATATTTTGTGCTTTCTTAGCTTTACTGTATTTATTGATCATAATTTTTTCGAAAATTTTTAACTCGCCATGCGATTTACTTACACAGCTTACTGTCAATAATTATACTCATTCAGACTAATTTATGGTTTGTTCTTTATTTTATTAATAAAACCAAACAAAACAACAAATGTATTTTTTTTTTTTTTGCAAATTTAATTTCATTGAATTTCGATAAGAGATTTCTACTCCTCTTAAAATTTTGATTTAACTGATGTTTAAACTACATATTCATACTTAATTGTTTAAGCAAATTTCTAATTGAAACGTTTTCGATTTTGCTGTGAATGTTTCGATATGGAGGATAAATCTTCCATAGAACAGAAAAACACGCAAATGGATATAAATAGTATAGCTTAAAAAACGTTTAACAGTTGACTTGTTAAATAAATGTAAATCTCTCCCTAGTTAACCAATCAGTTTGTAAAAAACCTCGAGAATGACTCATTTCATTCATAAATTGCTTGGTACACTGGCAACAGATGGTGCACACCATACCGATCGGATAACCTTTATGAGCCACACAGCCATTCATCTGAACAAAGATTTGTTCACATTCTTCATTCGAAGTACCTTTTTCCTTGTTAATCAATAAACTGCCATCGTTTGGGTATGGTCCATGGCATGAGGTTAGTCGACATGTCGGTGCTTTGATCTGAAACCTGACATATTGAGACACTCTGCCATTATTGAAGTAACATAAGGAAATTTGTTTAAATAAACCGATTAATAATAGTAAATCAATGGTCAATTTTATTAGATATTCTTCCACAATTATTTTTTATTTTTATGGATTTTCCAAAGATGTACACACTCATTCTGTCATGTTTAATCGTATTGTGCTAGCTAAGATTGTTAGGAATGATGAATTTGGTGATTCCTTTCTTTAGGTCATTATTTGAAGCTAATAAGTTGTGAGTGATTGACTGAGGCAGTAAATATATAAATATAAAAATCCCTTGAAGGAACGGGAAATGCACTTTACGGGCACATTTGTTAAAAATTCAAAGAATGTTTCGGAATACCTAACTCTCTTGCCCGTTATTTTCTTTTGAAATGCAACAGTCATTTGTAAGTGAAATGTTGTGGTATGACGTCATAATGTCTATAAAGGCAGTAAGTGAGAATTGAAATCAGTTTTTCCATTTAATGTGATTTCCTAAGGATAATCATCACTGATGAAATATATGAAAGTGTCACAACAAGTTGACATCAGTAAGACTAATTGGTATATCACGACTTTCGAAATACTAGTGTCCAGATTTGTCCTAAAAAATTGTTATTTCTGATATCAAACTATCAGGTCAAACCAAACCTTTTCGAAGTCTGCTCCATGTAAGTAATAATGAGCTGGATTGCTAATAGTTCCTAATTCACCTCCATCATTCCTTTTGAAGTTATCTGGATGTGGCACTGAACTAACCCGGACCAGTAATTGGTCGCCGTAGATCCTACCGTTTCCTGAATTCGTTGGCATTCTTAAATCCTCATTTTCAAACCACATTTTACTGCTTACTGGTAACTTCGCAGATGGCGGATATGCCGTCATCGGCGGGTAATCTGGCTCTGAAACAGAGTATTGAAACTTTCTTTAGTAAGTCATGTTGTAATTACTTTGTTTGTTTTGGAAGGTAATTGTTCTTCCCAATGTCTGCACTTAACGAATCGAGTGATTTTAATTGCAGCTTATAAATCGTTGTTATTAACTTAAGCTTATAACCGATAAAGGACAAAGGAATCTGCTTAGATTTTGAAAAAACTTATTTCAATAACTTTTAGGAGAATAATTATGCCCATATTCTATAAACAGATTTATCAACTTGCCAGTAACCAAGAAATGCCCTCTAATCATTGTTTACTTTTTATTTTATTTGGGAAACTTTATCTTTTGTTAGTAATAATGCAGTTTCTATGCATAAATTTCTGTAAATTAATTTCGGTTACCGAAAGTTTCGGAAAATTCGGTGCATCCAACTGTAAAGTCAGTAATTTAATTCATTGCTTTTTAACTCATTGCTCTTATAATGAAGCTAACCCATAAAGATGATAAAATAATACCGACAAAATAGCACATACCCGCTGGCGGATAGTAGCCAAAATTGCTTTTTGTAGAACGAGGGGATAGGGTATCTGATATAACGGACGACGTCAACAGAACTGTTCTGAGAGCAACAACAGTCAACAGAGAAGAAGTGAAAATGGACATCTTGCGGTGACTCAGTTTTCTTGAAGACTAAAACTGTCTTCAACAACGTAACAAACCAGATGAGTCAAATGGAATTTCGAAGTACTCTATTTATAGAATAATTTCAGGTTTTTTTTTTATGAGGGGCGGAACTACCCTTGTTGATTGCAACGGATGCCCAGTTTGGCAAATTCCGTTGTATCTCTCCTCTCCTTAATAGCTATTTGTATTGCCATTGATTTCTTGAAATTTCAAATAGAAAAATGAAAGGATCAGTGCAGAACAGTGAAATTGAAATTTTAACCACAAAGTTTTGCTTTTTTTTTTTTTTTTTGGATTTTCCCGATAACAGAAAGTGAGAAAATATAAAGAATATTGGGATAAATAATTTCAAATGCGGTTTACTTTTTTTAGAAGTAGCCATATTTCTGCTCTAAATAAATGATGAATTATTTGATTCGTTGGCACGAAAAGTTCTGCATCACGTAGAACATTCTAGGGCTTTCATTTTCTCAGCTTAATACATTGTGCTTCTTGGTTGACGATAACAGGAAGAACTCATTGGCTTTTTTCTGTTTTGTATAAAAGTTAGAAATTAAAAAAAAAAGTTCAAATTTTATGAGTGTTAGAGTTCTATGTGCATTTTTATTTTTTTATGCCAAGGTTCAAAATTTTCATTTAAATCGGTTTTAAATTTTAATTTCTTTCTTTGATTTTTTTTTTGAATTACAGTGGAAAAGCTTCTTTTTTGAGCCATAATGAAAAAAAGATAATTTGTCCACATTATTGTAAGCTTTTATAGACTAATTATTGTTTCAAATGCTGATGTGAGTTTTCTTACTTAGAGTACTCAACAAAATGCCTTGAAGTTTCTCTTGAAGCTTTACCTTGAAGTTTCTTTATTATCCTAATCATTGAAATTATTCCACAATTTTTACTACACTGTACTTATTATTGGACAAAAGTGGTAAAATTCCTTTCCAACATCGGAAAAGCTGAATATACACTTGCAATACAAGTTGGAAACATATCTCAAATTTCAAATCATTGATGATATTTCAAAACTTTCGGGATTTTTTTTGAAGATTTATTTGAAAATTTTCAGCAATTTAAAGTTTTTCGTCGAATGTATTTATGATGTTATTCACAAAATTAGATAAAAAAAAAATGTATTTGAATATGTTACAAGGAACTAGAATGATGAACGAAGATAAAACTGTCTTTCTCACATTATTATTTACTGGGATCTTCTCAAAATTTTCAGGAAATTTCTTTTTCTTGACAGAAAATCAGATAAATTGACTGGTAAATGAAATGACGTATGAAAAATTTCAAGAATTTTACAGGCCCACTACATAAGTCATTTTATTTATCAGTCAATTTATCTAATCAACAAGTAAACGGTGAAGGAATTAGTAAGTGCAAGATCTCTTATCGGAATAAGAAGTACTAAAACACATTAATTTTAATTTTTCTCGACCGACCAACTTAATAAAAAAGTATTAATAAATTAAAACAAATATGAGGAGATCGTTACTGGTGATATAAGTAAAGAAGCTTTTTTTTAAATTCATTTGATTCTCTTTTACTCTCTTATTATTTCTACGTTATATATATTCTATCATTCGTTATATGCTATTTTTTCATATTTTTAGTTTATTTGGTATTTTAGTGTTTTTTTCCGAAAAAAATAGGGAGAAATCGGTTTAGGCTTCAAAGTTTGCAAATTTTCAGTGCTGATTTTAGCAATCAACGAGTATTAAGAGTACATATAGGTACTGAGAGATATTTCTGAAGACCTGTTCAAGATATTTGTGATGTTGGGAGATTAGCTAAATCGAGTGACTAATAGTCCTGATAAGGAATCATGGGGGGTATCATTGACATCGTTAAAATTTGTGATATGCATTATGAAATTCTTTATGTTCTCAGACCAGCGAGAAGGATAATCAGTAGAATTTTGGATTAGCGTGAATTAATTACTGTGAAAATTTAGTCGCATATACTACATATACTACACTTTTCTAAAATTTAATGTTTCTGAATTAGAAGACATTGCTTCATTAATTTTGAATTTATCGAAGATTAGTTTAGTACAAAAAGTAGAAATCACAGAATGTGTGTAGTATTCGAGAAATCTATTCTTTATGTTTTATGTGAGAAATCTGAACCGAAATTTTGCTGTTTTTTTTTGGTCAGATGCTCTGATATTATAGATTACTGAATAATATTGGAAAGTAAGTAATAAATCGATGTTTATGGTTTAACATGCTTTTAATTTCATAGTTTCGGAATCCGATTATCCTAATCTGGAATTTGGAAGAGAAATTTTGGGACTGCTCTAATATCAAGCCTGTAATTTGTTATAAACAGATGTACTTACTTATTCATTTTGTTTTTAAAAAATCATTGTATCAATATTAATAATGAACCCAGTTACTTGCTATGAAATTGATTTCTATGTTTAGTGTTTACTTTCCACCTCTATTTTATAAATTACGTTAAGCAGTAATCTTGAATTGTAATTTGTTGGTTAAATTTATAGAATTCGATGACTGCTTATCATTAATTTTTTTTTCCAACAGTAAAGTAGTACTGTTATTGCAGGAAGTTTTTTTATTTTACAGCACATTATAAGGACTTGAATGAGACATATGTAAATAGCAAAAAAATTTGGTGTCCTTTGGGGCACTTTCTCTGTCCCACAAACAATGGAGTTCATTTGAACGTTTTCCGTTAAAATGAAAGATCCTTCAAACAATGACCTATTTCTGCTCCTAAAATTTTTTTTTTTTTAAATATCACATTGAGAGAATGTTTGTGCAGTTTTTGTCACATCAAGAACGGAAATTTTTTCCGCATAAAGCACTAAGCTGGTATACCAAACCGGACATTTACCGGTGTGTGATTTGTATCCGGACATGTTTGTCACGTCGTTATTTATAAGGTTTTTAAGTACGATGCTAAAATTTGTAGAATGCTAAAATTTTTCAAAGATAAGTAAGGATGACTAATTTATTTAGCAGATCCTATGGCTGAATGCAATTTCGCTAAATTGAATTTTGTTTCCTTCCAATGGTTCTCTTGATTCCTATCGACTTGCCAGATAAATGCCAAGGTCGACTGCTTCAAAAAATTTTTGAACGTTCCTTTATTGAAGTAACAATACTTTATTTGGCGAAAGAAATGGATTTTCAAAACAATTTAATTCATAACTGTTTAGCAATAGAAATGTCCTTGTTTTGCATAACTTTGAAAAAGATTCAAAAATCCGATTTAAAAAGGGGGTGCAATTCTGTCTTTTTACAGTTCATCAAGTTTCTGATTTCAGTAATAACACTGAAATTGTACTCTACCATATTGATGTACTTTAAATGAGTGCTTCATTTCATCTCTTTTTCATCTCAACTTTAAATTTATATTTTTTTCATAGTTTGAGAAATGATTTGAATACTGTCTTGCTGCTTTTTTGTTAGTTATCATTTACCTAGCTTAATGGAAATTTTATGCTGGCATCATATGCTTTCAAATAAGAATGATGTTATTATCTTGGCTTAAAACTATGAAATCAAAGGAGCTACTAAGCGAAAAGAAAAAAAGAAGAAAACGAGGATCATTTGTCAACTGTTAAGGTTACATAATTGATTTCAGTTAAAATCCAATATTACATTCGGGAGGAAGTCATTAACTGCAAGTTCTGTAGTTTATCTAACTCTTTGTTTTGTTAATTTCTTTGACATTAATCTAGTCATCATCTTTCTTTTCAGTAATCCACTGGAACAGAATAAGTGGTGCATCATTTAGTTTAAATAAATTTGATCAATTATATTTATTTCGCATCATTACCAAGAATAAATTCGTGTTTTATAGGGTTATTACTTAATTTCAGTTACGTTTACGATCCAGTCAATATTAGTATAAGCAATGATTGTAGTGGGGGGGAGTTACTGATAAAATGCATAATTTTTTCTTCCAGAAACTTACCAGTCAATAAACTGGCTATCCTAACTGTTACTTTTCTTCCATTCACATTTTTTCTTTTTTTTAATTGTGCAGTGAACTTTCGCAATGTCAAAATTTTGATGTGACTATCAGCGCATCAACATTCCAGAAATTACTGAACAACTGCTGAATTCATCGAATCATGCACTTCCCACTTTTTGCGATTCAAAAAAGATGATCGATATATGCCATACCGATTGAAGAAGAATTTAAAAGTAGTTAGTAAATAAATAAACAAAACATGGTACTTTCATAGAATACTTTCATTTAACAAATAATAGCATACTTTCATTTCCTAAAAAAGAATACTTACTCATAACTTCTAATACTTTCAGAATTATTTTATCCTCTTTCAATATGTTAGTATCAGAAATGATTTAATGATAACACTGATTGCAGTTTTTTTTTTTGAATGCAGTGCTGAATTAATTACGAATGGAAGAGTCTCAATTGTTTGAATGCAAAACCGATAAATTCATATCATACAGTTACAGTGATGATATGAGTATCATTGACAACAAAATAACAGTAGTATACATGGTCAATGGATGTAATAGCAATTAGTTTTCTTTAAAAACAAAGCAGATCGAATCTTCATATTGTTTAGCATTTACAGATATTCTGAAAGTACCCAATATTGCAGAACAATGAGGATATTTTCTCAGCGGAATGGAAAAGCTATTGGATATCTGCTAAATATCAGTTGGATCATTTTCGTACTATCGGCGACAATACTTATCATTTTTGGAAGTGTGCACCTATACATGCGCAATCGGTTTGTCACTTTCTTTTCCGAAAGCTTTTTTAATCACCGGTTTTTTTTTAATCCTTTTCTTGTGCAAAGTGTTATTTTATACTTTTTTTCAATTTTTATGGAAAAATTTCTGTTTAGCTCAAGCAGCCGACACGTTTGCTATTGTGGAAGGCCGAAAATAAGCAGTTAGAAACAGCAGGTGTGATAAATGTATATGAGAATTCAACATGGACTACAGTGAGACATGGCTGGCTAGCGGTTGTTGTCTTTAATGATGCTGTTGCAGTTATAGAGGTTTTATAAAATGAATTTTGATTAACTTTGATGTTTAAAGGAAAATTATGGAAAATAAGTTTTAATTAGACCAACTACTCAACTACTCAAGGAATCAGATATTATATTACTATAAGATTGAAAAGGATTTTGGAAAATTATCACCGCCAGGATAATTTAAAAAATTATTAAACAAAGATAGGTATA